AACGATATTAAATGGTGCAGAATTTTCAATGAATTTTTAATGATCTATAGAAGAACTGTTTGAACTAATGTTGCAATAAGCGCTCTACAGCAACTCGATTTATAACACTAGTAATGCGTTACCAAAATATGCTGAATCAATTAAGAAATTTCGGAAATGACTCTTGATTATTTATTAGTGGCTTAAATATTTGCAAACACGTTGCACGACTGGGCTAAGGTTGACTTCATAAGTCGTCTTCTTCAACAAGTCTTTTAATTAACCAACTTGGGTGCCTCAATGCCTTTCGATGGCGGAAACGATATTCCTGGACGATCCAAACAGTATTATTCGAAAACGATCAGTGTTTCCAATTTATGCTTACATTTGGTTCCAAGAGCAATCACCATATCCAGATTGATATTTCAATATTTAGAACATTAACTCCAATGACATTGCATGTAGTTAAAATAAGTTTAATTAACATTTGTCCACTCAATTTCCCTTTTATTAGCCTTTTCCAACTCTGTTGAGAACCATACAGATTCAACTTGAGTCACTGACAGGTACTTTCGTGATCATTCTAGACTGTTAAATATTTAATTTCTTTGGAATCAAATGAATGACTCGCGTCTATTTGTTTACATTCAGCATTGTTCCAACGTCTCTAATTGCTTGCGAAATACAAGATTAAAACTACCGTCGGGGTTGGTACAAACAGACGTGAGCAGTATACTGCAAACGGCCTTATTCGTCCATTTTCATAGAAAATCAAACCGATTCTTCGCACGAGTTCTCTCCTTTTACCACAAAAAGTAACTCGCGATCGAGAGATAGAAATTCTATCTACACTAACTGAAGGTCTGATTATATATTTAGAGTTATTCACATCTCTTACTTTAAATTCCTATTGTCCAGGACGAGCGACTATCTATGCTCTTCATTGCTTTTCTTAATCCATGGATGAAAAAAAATAATCGTGAATGACACGCAATATTCATAGTGTTGTGACCAAACAACACAGTTTGAAAAGTTTTCAACAACAATTTCTCTCCTTCAAAAAAACCTTGAGTCAGTAATTATCCAGGAAACTAAAACTTGAATCTATCACTCCAATTTCTTCTTCCTCACAGCATTGCATAACCCAGTGCATTGTCGACAAAGCTGAAACTGCTGGAAGCGTGTACGATTTCTGCTCACCAGATTTTTTTTGATCAAGTGGTTTCTGCGGTTGTTTCAACTCATTCGTTTTGGTTTCAAAGTTTTCCTTGAGCGTTGAAGCCGGAGCACTGTTTCGGCTCTGCAGCTGCTCTGTTTTCAATCTTCGTGTTTTGGCGTTCTCTTCCAAGCCTTTCAGATTTTCGAAGATTTCGCTGAAAGCCTGATTCATGGCACTTTCGAAATTCGTTCGCTTCCCAGGGTGAAAACTGTGTCCTCTCACGTTCTTCATGGTCACAATGTGCATTAACTAAAATCTCTGAAGAACTTTCAACGTCTTCGAGGTTTAACTTCACCGGCTCGATGAATCGAGTGATAATGATGTTAATCTACTTTTCCCCTTAAGGCGTAATATTGTTCACGTAGCCAACCACGTGACCCGTTCCACGAGCACGAATCCACGGTATATTGGTTTGCAGGTTGACTGAACGTGCCGCAAAAGGAAGATGTCATTTCCGCGCGTGAGCGAAGGGTTGAATATTTCTGTCAGGTTGGAAAGTATATTTAGCAATATCCAGAGACAGATACTGGACCTCGGAGAAAATGTAGGAACTCACAAATAACAACGAGGTCAAAAATGTTTCCTTAGAAATCCAAGTTTTAAAGCAATGTTTCCTTACAAGCAGAAACTAAGAAACTCCCAACAAGCTTCAAGGTAACATGAAATACTATTGCCTTTTTAATGAAGATTTCATTAAAACGTTTTTTTCATAATTTCATTTTAGTGGGGTAAATTTCGAGTGTTCGTGAGTGGGTGTGGCTTAGAGGCCTATATCCCTGTCTCGTCGGTAGAAGCTATATTTGTCGGCAGCATCTGATCTAATTTGGCAGCAAACAATTACAGGTTAATGACAAAATCCTCAAAGATTCTCCTTAAAAGCAAAACAACAAGAGCTGAGCTACAAATATATAAAAGTACAAGATCAAAAACGCCGGCTTTTCGAATACTTCAGATCGAAAACGACTCAGAAGAACTGAGATTTTTCAACAATAAACAAAACTTCCTTTAGTTTTGGGGCTTAGATCCAGTGCACCAAGCCTTCTACTCGTCAGCCACTTAAATTCACTAGGTCTACATTTTCTATCGTTCATCGCCTAATTTTCCAGTCCTGACGATATTTTTTTTCGATGAAAGCAGCGATAGTGAAACTATTTCGGTGCAGTATCGAGTTTCGTGACTATGATTCCGTTATAAATCCCTCAACTAATTCAAGAGCCTATATAGCAAATTCCCGAAGCTTCCGCCCGCATTCAGGGCGGAATGGCTTTCATTTTTTCCACAGAAGTGACGCCCTTCCTCGTCCTATGTAATTAGTCACACCAAATCTTATATATCTTCCTCAGTGGCTGTTTAGAGAACGCAAGCTTAAAGCAATTATTTCTAAGTGTTGTTTTCATTCTTGTTCAAAACAATCTCAACTTGTTGCATGGAGTTTAACGAAGTCTTAGACTTGACCCTGTCAGAAAATATCGTCAGGGATTTCCCTCGCTCAGGCTTTTTTGTTTTTGTTGGCTTGCTTTGGTTTTCTGGCGGCATTGTTACTTCTCGATATTTTGTCTTCGATCGCTGAAGATCTGCTTAATTTCTTACGTATATTTAATAATAATGCAAATTCCATTTGGATATGCTCAAATACGCATTATAGTAAAAGTTGAGAACTAACTCTAAATCAAATAACATATGGAGGTAAAATTTAGAAAATCATATAACTATTTAAATGGTAAAAAATTAAGAGAACTATGATAAATGACAAAATAATTAACATTTAGCAGACTATGAAAACGCATCACGAAATAAATGAGTCTTAAGTTCAGACTTGAAGTCAGCAACAGTGCTTTCAGACATATATTTCACTCCTTATGCTGGTCTTTGAGATTTCTAATATCTCAATTAAAACCCAATGCAAACTTTTTAAAACTTAATCACTCCTTTGTATCATGGTTAAATAGTTCTCTTTGTTTTTTCTCACTTTTAGCAGTCCGGTCGTTTGCTCAGCAGACCCTTGCCAACTTTGCTGGCGTTTCATAAATGTAGCGATTCTTGGCCCTGATCTTAATTTCATGTGCGGTCCAGAGACTTTGCTGCCTTCACGCTTCTATCCGATTAAGAAATATCACCTGCGTTTTCTCTCGAATACCGGGGCTTGGGCGAAAACTTACAAGTGAAATGTAACTAACACGCTGGTGACAAGCAGCTCGTGGCCTCAAGCCTTGTTCGAGTTCATTTCCAAGGGGCGTTTACAAAAGCTGGACCGCATCCGATCGGATCGGATTGACAAAACCTGGATCAGATCGGACCGGATTAACAAAATCAGGATCGGACTGGATTAACAAAACCTGGATCGGATTGCGTCCGATTGACAAATCCCGAACCGGGTCCGAAAAAAATCGGATCGCCCGATGATAAATTTCCCGTCAAAATAGTCACGTAACATCTCATGATCAAGTTTTGGCATAGAAACACGACTGCCTTTTTTCGCAGCTCAGTGAAGAAAAGTTGTAATGGTTCTTTTTCGTATAAGATATTCCACAGGCGCCCCCAGCTCACTAAACTAAAGGTATGGTTGTTTCGAGAAAACAGCCATAAAGAACTACAGAAAACAGACGAGGTGAGTTCACATACTTTATTATTTTGAAAACTATAGATAATTATGCCATAAGAAACACATTTGTAGCCTTGCACACTATACATAGTTTTTTTTAAATTATTTAAACATTATTGTAAGTTGTTGACCCATTATTGTAAATAGTTGCCGAAAAGCCTTTTTAGGAGCAATTATTAAAGATTATCATTATCATAACGAACGTTTTGATAGAACGCCATTACGGACTCCATACACTGTTTTATTGAGCGCTCAAAATCGACGGTCGACACTGTAATGTAACACCGCTTTTCGCAACACTGTCACAATACGCCACTTGCATTGTAACACAACACAACTTTCCCGTCACGGTCAGGTTCGCTCGAGGACATAAAACAACTATACATTTCGTATTGTGAGCTTGAGAACGTCTGTGGATATTCATTTTCAACTACAATCAATTACGGTCAAATCGTAGCGGCCTCAGTTGACCGGCACTTGCTTAGCAGGTGTCGTTACCTCCGATCGAAAACTTAAACATCCTCGTCTGTAACTCCCGTGAGGCTTAGTGCTTGCACTGTGCATGGCAAGAAAAACAGTCGCCATGTTTGACATGTTTCTCTTAATTAAGGCTGCAGAACTTGTATCGATTTTTGGATGTTTTCCACGTTTAATTTACTAGCGGATAGCTCCAATATGAAGTACATTCTTACACTAAAATTTGGCGGGAAATCTATGGCGATCCGACTTTTTTCGGACCCGGTTCGGGTTTTGTCAATCGGACGCAATCCGATCCAGATTTTGCTAATCCAGTCCGAACCGGTCCAGATTTTGTCAATCCGATCCGATCCAATCCGGTTGAGATTTTGTAAACGTCCATTTCGTTCCAAGGTCGTTTGGTCGTAACATTTATCTTCTTGACTGTCCCTCCCACCCAGAAGTACAATGGACAACAGCGTTTTGAGGAGGGGGGAGGGGAGCTAGTTATTGGCAATGAGGCAGTAACCTCCCATATCGCATTGACTTGCATCGTATTCTAGAGGAGTTGCAAAAATTACGAGAGTAAACCCCATATAAAACATCAAACAGAAAAGATGTACTTTGAGATAAGAACAGTTCATGAGAAACAGAGCCGCTCTCTCCTGCACTCCCCTCTCTCTTTTCTTCTATATCTTCCTTTTCAATGAACTACTGCTGACCACTAGACTCTACAGTTTTCAATATGGCGGACGCACCGGTACATATGAATAGTTATGAATCGTTCCATCAGAAGTCACCCAACAGCCGTGTTGATTATGTTCGCGAGGAATACAAGCGCTATAAACGAAAGAAACCTCCACCAGACTTCAGCGAAGTAATTGATTTCAGAGATCCTTCGACATTTCGTGATCGTGTTGTAAAATTCGAACTGAATACACAGGGGAAGTGCGATAAAAGTGATTCGAATTCCGGACTTCGATGTGTCAAGGAATGGCAAGCCTACGAACTTAAATCATGCCCCGGGTTTATTTTTATAGTAAATCCGTTTTTACCCGGAGCACAACATTACTGGACAAGACGATGTATTGAAGATTTTCCACGCAAACCAAATGTTTGTAACTTGGATACACATATGACCTTAGACCCCAGGGAGTCTGTGTGGGAACTCAGTCAGAGGTGAAAGAACACGGCAAAGCTTTCTGATAACTTTTTTATTACAATTTCATTGCGTCTGATATGATAAAGTTCAGGTTTTAGGGTAACAATCAAAAAAGGAAAAACATTTACTCCTTAAATTCTCGATGTGTAGCAGCGCCGTAAAGTTCAGGTTTTAGGGTAACAATCAAAAAAGGAAAAACATTTACTCCTTAAATTCTCGATGTGTAGCAGCGCCGTTAAAAGCTCAGATACATGAGGGTAAACAAAAACCTGTATGTATTGCCAGCGGAATGAGCTCTTAGATAAACAATTTCTAATTATTTCAATTTTCCACGGTAGCTTATAATTAACACAAAGACTAAGTGAGGGAAGTCCAGATACTACCTTGATCTGGTTTATGTGTGTAAAATTGATAGATGTTAGCATTCGGGACACAAATGGTTATCAATAACGGCTTTTGGACCCTGGTGTTTTCGATCTCAGGTTTAAGTGGGAGACAGTTGCAATGTTAAACTTGGGATTAAGCAGTACAATCTTTAAACCTGGCAAGGTAATTGTGTTCTGTGCTTTGGCAAGTATTTGCTTTACTCTTACACTGCTTCCTGCCACCCCAGAGGTGACTCAGGAGTTGGCCTGGTAACAGTGAGGAAGGGACCGTGAAGCACATTACTTGTTAAAGTCCAGCTTGCCATCCAGGGAGGATTAGTAATACTCCCTAAATTTCTTTATGCTGGGTTAAGCTTCAGACCACGAGGATTACATGATTTTATGTTTTGAAAGCAATTACTTAATCTCTCAGGAATGATGCAAAAGACAACTTGATGGACAAGCTCCGCTGGGTTCACCTTGGGTATCACTTTGACTATAACGTTGTCAATTACAAACCTGAACGGTATTATAACTTCCCATCAGACCTCACAGGCTTGACACAATGCATTGCAAGTGCAATTGGATACCCTGACTACTACCCTGAGGCTGGCATTGTCAATTACTATCCTCTGGGAGGTTCCATGGGGGGCCATACAGATCACTATGAGTCTGATTTGTCGTGGCCTCTGATCTCAATGAGTTTTGGACAAACTGCAATTTTTCTAATTGGTGGAGCAACAAGAGATGTAAGACCTGTTGGTGAGTTTGTATCTACTAGTTTTGAATAATTACAAAAAATAATATGTTAGTCAGGGTGGCTCCCTGGGAACCAAATCTTGAATAACAAGTCCACAATTATTCACCAAGGTAGAAGTGAGTAGTGGTGATTTACCAAGCAGCAAGGTAAATATCCACCACTTTCACTGATACAGGGGTGAATGATTGTTTTGCTATGTGGAATTCAGGGGACCCCCCCCCCCTTAGTTGACGTTGACTTGTTGATTGTTAGTCATGTAATCACATGATGTGATTTTACTGAAGTCAAAGTCTTGGTGTGTATGTTTTCATTGCATTCATGGATTGAACTCTGGAACTCTAGTTTAAACTTGGTTGGATTCACTTTAACCAGTTGTTGTAAGTCAGAAAAATGGAATGAATTCATTACATTTACCACACAATACACTGAAATATGGTTGGAAATTTACCTCTTAACAGGCAATTTTTTCTCTTTGGTTTCTACGAGGTGAATACTACCAGCTTTTCACCTCCAAACTAGCCAATATAACATATTATTATATAGATACTGATGAAATACCAGGATTTCTCCTTTTACTAAAAAATCATATCTTCACCGCACGCAGTGAGGATATTGGTGTGGCCATGATTACCAACATAATTACCCAATTACATTAGAGCTTCTCGCTCAGGCACGTGGTCGGTTGATTTGAAATTTCATCAGTATCTATATAATAAACAGAACATTACATAGTGGCTTGGGGATATGAATTTTATCATCTCATGCTGAAAGTATCTCTCACTCATGAGAGATACTTTCAACACTCGAAGATAAAATTCGTATCCCCACGCGGCCATGAAATATCCTCTATATATGTTATATCATTCTATGGTTTAATGGTCGTAGTGGGAGAATACAAAAAACTGGTTGCCCCTAAACATTTTAGAGATGGTTTAAGCCCTTCACCCGTTAGAGTGATAAACATCCAATTTCTCCCAACAGTATCACCCCTTCATCAAACATTAAGGTCAGGAGAAAAAAGGGTAACATGGCAAAGTTAAAAAGTTCGTGACTAAAAGCATTCTTTAGCTCTTTAGTTATTCTGAGTAAATGTTACCTCTCCTGTATTACTAGATTACATTGTGAATTAAGTTTAACTTTTATTTTTGGTAATAAAGCTGTTGTTGTTGTTGTTGTTGTATTTTTGTCAGTACCGCTGGAAATGTAAGGAGAACGGTACAGAGATGCTACAGTGAAAAGGGTGATACAAACATAAAGGGAAATCATCTATTGGGTGAATTTTCTCTTTGCACCATGTGGGTTTTCTTCACAGACCTGTTCTCTTTAATACAATTTTGAATATAATAATGTGATATATAGATGTCACAGTGAGTGTTGTGTGACAGTTGAGAAAATTACTATGAACAATTTAACAAATGTAACTTAAGTTATTGTGAATTTTTTTGCAGCTTTACATGTTCGCAGTGGGGATATTATCATTATGTCAGGGAAATCAAGAACCGCCTTCCATGCAGTTCCGAGGATCATTAAAGTGGGAAAGGACAATGAACCTCCATGTTGCCTCAAATGGGAAGATGGCCTATTTTCAAGTGACGTCAACATGAGAAACCCGGATGAATTAGGCGTCCCGGATGAGAGCTCAGTGACCCCGGATGCTTCAGATGATGGCATAACCAATACCACTTGTTTCAATCGGACAGAGCGAATAGAAAAATCCTTGCTTAAAGAATTCGATGATGATAAAATTATCAGAGGACTCGAAAAGTTTGGTATTCACGAGAGAGAGCATAGTGAAACGGATGAAGGCTGTCTATGCAACCAAGCTAATTTTTGCGCAGAATCTATGAAAACTCTTACCTCCGAAGAATGGAGAAAGTTTGAAATCTATCTTTCTAAAACTCGTATCAATGTAAATGTACGCCAAGTGCATGAAAGTGGAAAAACAGTGAGTTCATCTTAATATGGAAAATGAATTGTGGGTCAGTTGGGATGACTGTTTAAATAATAGCCCTGGTCTAATTCATTGTTGGCCACAAGGTAAACAAGAGTGCACTTCCGATCTATTTGTCTTATGAAAGTTTTTTCCGAGACGTTTATTGGTTTAAAACGTAATTAAAAATGTAATAGTGCTTGTCTCCAAAGACCTGTTATTTTTTTTTTCTTCATAAAAAAATAAAGCGAGCTAAGAATGTTGTTTTTAGCTAATTTTCTACAGTTGTTTTAATACGCAAAGGGATCAATTAACAGCAATGTACGAAACTTAATTCTTAAAAGTGATGACAATTATTTGTATAGGCTACATGAACTCCGCTCGCAATCTTTAGAGGATAGGAGATTTATTACGGATGTTGTTTTCTTTTATAAGGTGGTTAATAATCATGTTCGCCTGACCCTTGATTCTAGGGTTCGGTTCTCTAGGGATGTTGACAGGAGATATGTATTGAGAGGTAAGGATACTCCAAACCTTTTAACCAGCTTTTCTAGGACAAATTTATTTAAATTTAGCTTTATGAGGAGAATAGTTGGGGAATGGGATAGTCTCCCTCTTGATATTCGAGTAGCATCATACGTGGCAGATTTTAAGTTGAAGGTTTCTACATTTTTAACTCTCTGAATTTCTGTATATACATTTTTTATCTTTTTTTTTTTGTGTGTATATTAGTAGGTCTATAGATAGGTTGGAGTTTTCTGCTAGAGGTGCTGCGGCGCTTTTTGAGGGTTCTTCCCATTTCAACAAATTATCATGTAAATATTTTTATTGTTGTTGAAATAAAGCTTAATAGAAACTGTTTACAGAGCGCTATCTGTTGGAAAACTTTCTAGTTGTTAATTATACAGGTGTTCTTTTGACATGACTTATAAATAGCATTTGAAGAGAGAAGTGCTCAATTCGTCATACATGAAAAATATAAGTTTTCTTTGGCCTGATGTATTTTGTACCATTTGAGAAGGAGACGGAACCAAAATTGACTTCGAGATATCGTGCATAAGTCGTCTGCACTACAAGCAGAATTTATTAAAGTGGCTAATTACGACAAACAGGATAGCTACTCGTTAGCAGTTCAACAGATTTTCGTTTAGGAAAGGGTTCGATACTGTTACGATATATAAATGCATGCTCGAAGCTTAAGGCGTAGGTGTTAATCCCACAAGTCGTGTATAATCTTGTGATATGTTAATTACTTTGATCGTGTATTTAAGAGGAATTCTATGTTTGTATGTTCCTTCTCTTCTTTTCGGTTTCTGCTTTAGCTGTTGAATAAAGACTTCAAACAGGTACCATCTCATTACATTGAACGTGTAATTGGTTTTTGCTTAGAACGGAGTACAATAAAGCTTAACGAGACATATTTTTTCTTCCTGTTTAACGAATGAACTTTTGGTAGAATCTATCTTCATTGATAAGTTGGTCCATCAAAACTTTTCCTTGGCTCACTAGTCACAGTTAAGCAGCCAGGTTGCCCAGCGATCTTCATAATGACTGTGTCCGTGTGAGAGTGGTTTACAAGTTTTTTTAGGCTAAATTGAATTTCGAACATTTTCTTTTCTGATAAGTGCAATTGCCAACGAAGACTTCCTCATGAATCAGAAAGGCGTCATTGAGGACTGCACCTGCTAAGAAAATCTTGCTCGCGCATAATTATAATGATTGCGTGGGGGGGACTGACAAAGATAAAAGTTTAAGAAAAATTTGCTCATCAATAATGGAAACGTCAGGTATCGACGACTTCAATTGTCAAAAAAAGCTTGCTTGTGAAAAAGAAATACGTTAAGAAATAAGAAGTGTAATACCGAAAAAACACTTGCTTGTGAAACGTAAAGCGTTCGACATTGACAAGGGCAATTTCTATGCAAAACTTGCTTATGAAAAAGTGCGTTCCACATTGACAAGGACAATTACGAAACAGAACTTACTCGTGAAAAATGAATGCGTTAGGTATTGACGACTGCAATTGCTAAGAAAAACTTGCTTGTGAATTATAAAGGTGTAAGGTAAATACCATTCATAACTTTTGTTAAGTTAATATAAGCGGAGGTTTATTCATAGGCAAATTTTACAGTTGGACACCTTTCGATTTTGTTTTTTGTTCACCTCCAAAATTTAATTTTTTACTTACAAAATTCGATGGTTATCAGATGCTTCTTCACAAGTTAATCTCTTGGCTCTTCTTAAATAGTTAAAAAAAAACCTTTAAAAGAGTCAAATCTTTAGGAGAAACAAAAAAATTTAAGAAACAATTTGTAAAGGAGAAAATTGATGGCAATCCTCCCTGCAAGAACATCTGCCGATACAAATTTCGTAAATGACGAGTTTATTCTTTGACATATTTTCCTTCTACAATTGTCAGGTAAAGTTTCTAAGGAAAACTTGTCAATTAAATGTTTGCTCGTGTAATTACAGCTTAACATTCAGAGCAAAGAACCGGTCCCTCTATTAAAATGGTTCGCGTTGGCTTTCGGACGGAATAAATATGTCGAATCGACAGCTCTAGTTTCCACAAAACTCTGTTGTATAATGCCATTTTAACCCAAGAATAAAAAACAATACCACAAAGAAAGTCTCGGCCCTTTAGAAAAAAAATAACTAGAAAAACAAACCAACTTTGGATATCATTTCTTTCTGTGAATAATCTCAGGAATGACTAATTTATGTTTACATGGCAACTGTCTATGTAAAATTAGATTTTATCGTTTCTTTCCCCAAGAGATTTAAGCAACTGGCTTTGAATATAGCCTGGACGAAACAAAAGAGGGAATTTAAAACAATTTTTCTATAATTGCCATAGCAACTGTAATTACTTAATCATACCGTCCTCCGCTTCGCGCTTTGCATTTTAATCGAGCTAGCAGACACTTTCTGAACAAGAAAGACATTCAGATGGCTGGAAGCGGAAAGGCAAAAACACTTATGTGCTTGTTCCTCGTCTGGATAATTTATCTGATTATTGGGATGTTCATATTCAGAGCTGTTGAACGCGATCATAAGAAGGATAAGCCACAAGAAGAAACCAAACAACAATCCTTGGACGTAATTAGAGAAAATGTGACGGCTAAATATAACATGAGTGAAGCAGAGTTTGATTTTATTGTGCAGCAGATTGAAGCAGCTTCATCGACCTCAAGTGTTGGTAGACCAGAATGGAGCTATACCGAATCACTTTCTTTTGTGGTTCAACTGGTCACAACAGTCGGTAAGCTCGGCAATTCTGAAAACCTCGTTAAATTGTTTTGCCTATTTACATAGCCATAATCTAAAACAATTCTTGTGAATAATCGTCACATTCAGCTGCTAGTTTCTGACTACTCAAACATTTCGATTCCTCCCAACTGTGTTGTTTGATCTTCATTTTCGCGATAGATAGTGTAAGAACGCTTGATCGTGGCGAAGTGACGTCATTTGTCTTTGTCAGTGTGGAATGCTTGAAAAGGTAGTTTTTGAAATTGTCAATTCCCTTCACTTCCAACAACAACAAAAAATCGATTTCTCCTTACAATATCAATACATTTCAAGCAGAGAAGTGAGCAAACGAGAGAAAATATCAAATACAAGATATTGTCCTTTCAACTTTTTAAACTGCATCATTTCATGTGAATCCTTCAAGTCACACAAATTCAGCTGTTCTTGGGATGTCACACAATGCTTTTCTTTCGCGAGGATAGTTGCGTGACATCCTCATGACCATCCTCGACTTGGAGCAAGCAGGGTGCCCGGGAATTGACGTCACTTCGAGCGTTCTTCCCTAGATACGGCTCTCCATCGTTCCTTTTGATATCCAGTCTACAAAACAGATACTGCTATTTGTCATTTCATTTCGTATTTTGTTCTCGTTCAAGGCTATGGTAACATCACACCCGTGACAACAGGTGGCCGAGTACTTTGTATAATCTTCGCCCTTATAGGTATACCGATCAACATTATATTCCTGCAGTTACTCGGAGAAAGAATGCTTCGCAGCGAGCACTTCCTCGTCATGAAATTCGAACAAGGCTGCCTCAAGAGAGAGGGCGCGCCAAAATTCTTGAATGAAAAATGCTCTTTCGTGGGTTTTCTTCTTCTGCTGATCATTTTATTTGCGGGCGCTGGGTGCCAAATGGAGATGGAAAACTGGACATTTTTTGAGGGTTTTTACGCTTACTTCATAACTTTTACAACAGTTGGCTTTGGTGATCTGATCCCAGGATCGATGATAAGAGGTTCTCCAAACGCAAAGATAACGGTATCCATCTTATTTATCATCATGGGTTTGGCGGCCATGTCGAATGTGATCAATGGACTTGTAAACTGAAGCGAGAGTATGGAATTGTTCCGAAGATTGGGCGAGCGCTGCGGAAGAAGGAGAAGTGTGGAAATAAGTCCTGAAACGTCGAAAAAGAGTGAGATTGAGCTAAATGAGAATTATGCTCCAGAAACGATATGACTATTATCTCCTCTGTTATGGTACTAACCGCATCGTAACTCTTTGAAAATTGTCTCGAAATTAGGCAATGGATGCTGCCATCTTTAATCTTGCTTAAAAAATGGAATTCTTGACTCAAATCATTTCTTTCGGCAGCAACCAAAGCGGCAGCTGAACTGCGCGATACTTTTGCGTGTGAGGCCTGGCTACTGAGTTGCTTCAAAATAGCGGCGTTCAAGGTTGAATTTTTATCACATTCGGAGGCAACTTTTGAACAATAAAGATACTCTCAGCAATCTCAGTAATCTGTAAATAATAGATCTTTTGACAGGAGATAATTAAACATGGTTTGATGCTACTCTGGTTTAAAGATTTAATGAATGTAACCGAAATTACAATTCATCGACCCAACGTTTCGACACTCCTGTCATGTGCCTTCATCAGTGGTTATCTGATGGTTGCAACAAGAGGCCGTTTTTATTTGCTCACTGATTAGCTGCCCCGTCTTTCTGACGAGGTGTAAATAGGCGTCAACTAGTAAACCGCCATCAACACGATTTAAAGGAGCGTGGGCGGAGTTGATCCAATTCTTTTTATGATAGTGAAGATAAAAATCTTAAAAGTGACGATAAAAATTACAAGGCATTCGTATCCTTTGAACGCAGAAATTTACCAAGGATTAACGAACATCGTTTTGTTGGCCGCTTTCCTTTTGACGGAGAGCGCCAATCGGGAATTTCGCTCCTGAAAGCAAGAGGGAGAGTCCTCCGCGGAACCATCTGGTTTTTACGCTTCTACGAGGATAATACTGGCATAATTAACAAATGGTAAACACC